GGCCTGCATCACCTCGGGCATCTTCCCGAGGCAAGAGAGTTAACTGTCTTTAAAAGTCCAGTTTCCACCCTTGCCAAACTAGGCTGGGATTACTGGGCTCGATTGTAGTGGCACCAGTGGCTTCCGCACGACAGTTTACGAACCGGATTTCGATTTCGGTATGCGATTTTGATTGGACTATGTATAGACTCGTTAGTCCAGTCAAAATGTAACTCCATAATACCAGCCTAGTTCGGCAAGGGTGGAAACTGGACTTTTATAGTCAGTTAACACTCTTGCCTCGGGAAGATACACCTCAGGCTTTCCTCCCACTGAATGTTTTGTTTTCTCTTTTTTTTATTCAGAAAAATGTCCAAAATGTGACCATCCTCGGGCATTCTTCATGCAGATACAAACCCGGTCGGCAGATGAGCCGATGACAACGTTCTACAAGTGCTGCAACATGCAGTGCGGCCATCGATGGAGAGACTGAGAAGGATATGAAGAGGAAGATGTCACAGTGTAGGGAAGGGGTACGCCAGCTCACTTGGTCTGTTCAAGGCTGTGAGACAGCTGGAATAATGCTAACTTCAGCACAAACCATGAGGTGTGTTGAGAGATCCGGTCTTAACAGCATGCAAGGGGACTAAGACGTGTGTGGCACTGACGCGTACAGATTCACCTGAATTAATTGTTTGTGTCACTTATGAGATCACAGTTCACCATTGGAAACTTTCATATATTTTTCATGCTATTTTGGGTCACAGTGGCCTTGTCATCGCTGTAATACACTGTGCAGAGTTGCGTCCCGCAGTCATACCAGAAAGTCACATTGACTGCAAATGACTCTTAGATTTTTCCATGATTGTTTCCAGGTTTGTGACCTCCATACCCATGTAGTAACATATTAAGACCTGCATCACTTTGGGGTTTACCCCCACATCAAGCTGACAGCCATGCTCTAACTGAGGTATAAACCAGACTATCACCATGAACCATGGTTTCATGGCACTGACTTCAGTATAACCCTGGCTTGGGAATACTGGCTGAGGCATTACTTTGTCTGCATTTGTATACATGTATTAAGTTTATCAAAATGGTGTCTTCACTGTGTATATTTCTGTATTAAAGGCCATACAAAAGGACACCTTGTTTCTTTTCTGACTTGGAAGCTTACAATGAATGAGAGCGACTTTGAATGTCGAATGGTGACTTTGAATTTGTCGTATTCTTTGCCCTCTGCAACCTGTGTTTGTCATGAGAGCTGCTTAAAGGGATGGATGGTCAGGTTCGGTGACTAGGATGAGTCGGTGTCATCATACTGTGAAGACCTGGGTTAGAACTGATCTTCAGCAACCCATGCTTTCTGTAAAAGCCGACTATGCTTGTCGTGAGAGGTGACTAACGGGATCAGGTGGTCAGACTCGCTGACTTGTTGATGCATGTCATCCTATCCCAGATCACTGTTTATGATGTCAACCACTTGATTGTCTGGTCCAGATTCAATTTTATACAAACCGCTGTCATATGCTGAGTGTGGCGTTAAACAACAAAGAAACAAACATCAGCATGCTTGGTGTTGGTGCTCGAACCTTTAGTCAGTGGTTTGCCTGGTCCTAGTGGTTATGACAGGCTGCCATCTTATTACTGGAATATTGCTGACTCCAGCATCAAACAACATTCACTCACTCACACACATCAGACAGCCTCCCTAGCAGTGTATTCAACAGTCTTGATTGATGAAGTCTCACAGTCACATAGTTGTGATAATGCTGACTTCCTGGAACAACCACACCCTCTCAAATCCGATGTGTCATATAATTGAGAAATTGTTAATAAATCGTCCTGTTTGTGATCTCTTTTGACCCAGCACTATTCTTGTAACATCTACTCTCTACATGAATGCTTTGAAAGTATGTATGTAAAGGGTTTCAATATAAGCTTTCAGTGTTTCAAATGTAGAATGATGTAAAAAGACACAAAACATTTTTCAGAAAAGACTGGAAAAAACACATATGGCCTCCTATTTGTAATAGAAACAAAACACTGTTGGGTGTGCATGCTGGATGTCCTAGAACAATGTGTTGTGAAAATGATAATTGTCTGGATGATCCCATTGGCATGGGGTTATGGAGCATTCTACCTAACTGGTGATGAAATGTTTGGTTTAAGATCAGCATTTTTTTTATGTTTAGGAGCTCAATTATTTTTTTAAACATGAACAGGTGCTCAAATATATTATTTTTTTCTGTTCATAGAGGTATGAATAGAAAAACCAATGTGCAAACTTTTTGTAAGAATCGGCTACACGGATACATACAGTTTGCATATCAGTTTTTCGATTCATACCTCAATGAACCAAAAAAAATACACAGTCAATCCTTGAATAAATAAGAACAAGTTGTCCATATAAGAGGCTGTACTGTCCACTTATCTAGCCTAATATGGGGATAGAGCTACGACACATCCATGGTCTTATCTTTCAGTAGAGCCATGGAGCAAGGCTATTTTCCCCCTATAATGCAATGTATTTGTAAAACAGGGTTAGAATATATACCCCCACCCACCCATCCCGAAAGAAACCAAACCCAAAAAACAGCAAATGATTGCTCCCTGATTCAGTATGTATGATGTTAGTCAGGCTTGCTGTGAACAGAGTTCATGGTATGGTATGGTATGGTATGGTATGTCATGGTATGGTATGGTATGGTATGGTATGTCATGGTATGGTATGGTATGTCATGGTATGGTATGGTATGGACTGGACTGGACTGGTCTCTACAGTTAATTATCAGTATATGGTCTCTGATTTACCTAATTTCACAAAGATCACTGATCTCTCACAGCACATATTGCAAAGCCAGGACTTAGACATGCACCAGACCATGAAGCAATCTCATTACTTGAGGTACCCAACACCACCAGTGGATTGCAAAGAAGTCATACAAGTCATGTAATTGAGCAGGTAAGTACTTAATGGTTTAACAGACAAAGGTAGATAACTCTTCAACCCATACACAATTATAAAGCTTCACCTGTCATGCTGTCTGGCATAGGGTAACCATCCTATGGGGTTCTGTGTTAGAAAAGGCTCCTAGCAACCTCTGCTTGTAAGAGGCGACTTAATGAATTGGGTGGTTAGGGACTCAGTGATGATTGGTGTCTATCATACACCGAGGGCATACCGGTGCTCATTAAATCGTTCACTGATTCCCTGGTCTTGACTCGATTATTTTCAGGCAGCCCTCATACAGCTGGAATATAGAATGTGGACTAAACAACACACAAACACTACAAATGAGGCTATCTGGAGTCTCTGACCAGTTAGTGGACCAGTGCAAAACCTGTGTTGTCAGAATAACAGTGGGCATGTAAGGCACGGCCTGTCTTATTACCTTACTTCACACCAGCAATTGTTTAACATGCAACAGCACATTTGGTGGAATATCCCCTGGCACCATCAAGGCGGATGTATAATAAAATGGTAATCCATGCATTCCAAAGCACCTAATGACTTTGGGGATTCCGGATTAGAATAGTCCTCTGTCCTCGTACATCGACGGCGTTGAACGTGGCTCATAATATCAGTGGCTGGATTGTTTGGTCCAGACCGTCGCCATATGGCAGGAATATAGCGGACAGACCTTAAAGAAGAAACACGCACACGCACACGCACACGCACACGCACACCACACGCCCAAAGCACTATCAAAACCTTAGCAATTGTACGAAAAGTCGCTATTATGACGTTGGTTACATAAAATACATCTCTATAAGCTATAGGAATGTTTTGGGGGAGTTTGACGCTTTAAAAATGGAACTATTACTATTAATATTAATGTCATTATGTACATGTACCATCAAAATACACTCACTAGAGCCTCAAATATATGAAAATAGTTCTTGAAAGATTATCTATGTGTAGCGATGCTGGTTGATATATAATCGTGAGTCTCGTGCCGCCAAGCGATCCTATCTTCGTCTAGTTAAGCCTGCATTGATTTATAGGCATTAAGATAGTCGAAGCGTTAAGACCGGGTCTCTGTCACACGTTCATCTAAATATACCCCAATCGTTTGAAGGGGGCCATGACCGAACGAGTGCCATTTGGCGCCACAACTCCCGAGTTATGTCCCCTGACTGGATCTGCCGCTCGTATGTGCGCATCTCAGAGCCACCCTTGATTCTTGCGCTCGTTTATGATTGGCGTCACTTCGGTTATTCTTCCACACAGAGACCATATACCGATATATATATATATATATATATATATATATATATATATATATATACCGGTATATGGTCTCTGTTCCAAATTAATTTGAAATAACGTAATTGAAACATGGCTCTGAGCGGCGTAATATCTATTTTATATTTAATCATAAGTGGTAATGATATCTTACGAACCTAAGTGTACGTTTCCATCATTCCGAAACAGAAATGTTCCTGGTTCCAGTTCCTGTCCGAATAATGACGCTCATCATCTGAGTATGAGGAGAGATGAAACCACAAGTTTTAATGAATGCACCAAAGACTGAATGCGGCATTTCAATCAGACATTTATTATAGTTCGTCACCCTGTCGACTCATAATGTATCTGGTCCAGATTCGACCAACTCATTCTTTAAATATTTGCATGACTGCATCATCTGATGGCTGTTAAGTGAGTTGGGTTTAACGCCGCTTTTAACAGTATTCCAGTTATATCGCAGCGTGTCAGCTTAATGTGGGAGGAAAGCCCGAAGTGATGCAGGTCTCAGACGTTTACCACTTCGGTGAAACCCACGAGCACGGGTATGGTGCTGACAAACCTAGAAACATAATCGGGTCGAACAGGGATTCGAACCCACAATCAAGGGACGCAACTCTGCACAGCGAATCGCGGCGCCTCAGACGACTGTACCTCCCTCATGGCTGTTAAAGAAACAAGAACTTGTTTTGGGGGACGTGTGACCAAGGCTCAAAGTCAAATGTTTCCACAGAAAAAAACGTTAGCAATAACGAAAATGACAATACAAACGCATTTTGGTGAACGTTTTAATTTTTATTTTCATCTCAACACCTGACACATTAACTAGTCCCAAACCAGATCGGTTAAAGCTCACCTACCGCACAGCTGATCACTGTAAATAAGTAGCTTGTTCGCTATGGCCTTTTACTGGGTCATGCTAGTGGTACCTGTTGGCTGGAAGTGTAGTCTGGTTCCATGTAGCATTAATTTGTCTGTACATTATTGGCAAACCGTTTGACATATCTGGTGATAATATTAAGGCTAAGTCAATCATTCATAAACTAGTTATTAAGTACATCTGGTAAGATTCACACATACCTTAGTTACTAATTTTACAATTTATGAATACTAACGAATCACATTTAACTGGTGATTGTTTTGTACTGTGAAAGAAACTGTTCAAAATGTCCTATCGGTGGATCGGAATTCATGTCTGCATTTGGATATCTGTGAGGCCAGAATTTTTAAAAATAATAACCCCTCGTCCCCTGCACCGAAGACCGAGTTCCGTAACAATTCCTGATAAAACAGAATCGTTAAAAAAACTAAACAACTGTAAAAATAAAGTCCAAATGATGATTATTATTGGAAGACCACACTTGATACCCAAAGAAGTAATCTAGACCATTAATTACATGTTTCACAAGCCAACAGTGCACTCTCCTTTACCATTTTTTCTAATGAAATGCCCCCCCCCCCCCAAAAAAAAAAAAAATAAAAAAAAATAAATAAATAAATAAATAAAATAACATTACAACGCCTTTAAACGACTGTATTTTCCTCAGATGTTCACTTGCCCTCCGACTCACTCTGTCTCGAAACAGTCGGAGTAACAAGCGTATTTAACCCAGAGGATCGAAAACTACTCTGACCAAGTACGCAAGTCACAAATGAAAATGTCTTATTTGTTATAATTATCATGAAATAAAACATACTTTGATTAAGCGGAACTCTCTTTTACACTTGACCTCGGCTTTCAGGAACCTTTTTGATGTGTCTGCTGTGTCTCTTGAAGCTGGTTTTATATACAGAGATAACTTTATCGGTTTATAAGAGACTCTGTCACTAACGAGTCCGATACCATACTGCACCTTATCTCAACTGCTCTATAGACATGTTTCGATGGTTTATGGAAGGGTTTTTGAGCTCTCAACTACGTTTCATATTTTCGTAGATGACATTCATCACGTCTTCAGAATGAAATCGGGTTGATACGTTGGAGTCGATGTTTTATTGTTTCTATACAAATGGTACAATAGAACAGAAAAAGCTCCATAATCCATTCTCGCTTGCAATCTTATTGAAATCAGATTTTACTCTCCGACAGGACACTTCCCTGCGTCAAGAAGTGGGGACACCACCCATTCGTCACCACTCGCCCCTTTCCGTCACCTGCAAGAAGCTATTCGGCTTGTCCCGGAATAACACGAGTTGGTCACGAATGGACACCACCCTGTAAGGTCGAGTCAGGTGACCATGCGAGAGCTTCAACCGTTCAATCAAAAAAAAGGATGCATGGGTTCTTGAGCCAATCAAAATGTCAGCTTTCTGAAACAGTTCGGCTTCATTTCGTTACCGTGTGGTCCCGAAATTTCGAAATTTGGAAGAAAACGACCACAGAACAAAAAAAACCCCTCCATAGTATACCCTTGTTGGTGTAGATATAATCGCTCTCAAAAACGACATGGTGTATAAAATATCAACAACAATTAACGTAACATGTCTTTTGCATTCGGAACTCATCGATTATCTTCGTTTTCGAGATACGGAAATCAATTATGCTTTTCGGATTGCTTCGTTCAGTCGTACCGTCCTCAGATCTTCACGCAGAGAGGCATCGGAGCAAAAGATCTGATTTTAATGGTGTTTTTCTCGTTTAAGTCCTGAGTAATCAGTATTTTAGTTCATACCTTGTTATACCCTAGGCTAGAAGTAGGGTATTAACGTCGACGAAGTATTAGGCGCCTTAAGCACTTGTTCCTCCTCGTTTTAACTTGGTACAGCTTCTATGGGATCGACAATTCCCATTCGGGGATTGGCGTGTGGAAGATTTGTGCTTTTTGTAAGTCACTGCTTTTTTTTCAGACATCAGCAAAGCAAACAATGTGTTTGTGTTAACCTGTGAGGAAAATCCCATTTCAAGACATTTACTGCATGGCGCTTCGCCCGACCGTCCGAGACGGGTTGATTTCAACTCGGGCTGCCAGATTTTCAAATCCCCCTGCCCGACGGTCAGGTTATATTTCATATGTGAAAATATTCTAAATATTTCCCAATGATAAGCATTAATTCACATGTAAAGATGAATGATAAAATGTAACCAAAAAGAAACCCCGTTAGCTTATCCTGAGAAACATATGATTATAGTGGGCAGGCAGGTTTTGGTCAGGGCTGGCAAGTATTTCAACTAGCCAGTCCTGTGGTCTGGCTGAAATTTTGGGGAGTTTCATACCCTGGATACTGTAATCACAAGTTTGAGGAGCTAATCAAGCAGTATTATCATAAGAATAATACCGGACTATCGTAACTATTCGTCCTCTTGTAATCCCTTCATCATACCCGGGACAAAGAAGGATTATCCAAAAACTTTTAACCGGGTGGTCTAAGTAACATATACGTTTGAATTGGATGCGCGCTATTCATCACGCATTTACTAAAAATAAATAATATAGTTTATATATACTCGTAAAATATCACTTTCAACACCTCTAGTCACCTCCTCTGCAGGACGAGATCATAATACATGTGTGTCTCCATGCTAGAAAACGGCACACAATTCGTGTCACCCAAATTCAGTGAAACCTCGTTATTCCGGAAACCCATATTCCGGACGGTTTCGGCCAGCGGAACGCACAAATAGGAACTTGGATATAACTCCATACCCGTGACTCCCTTAATCCGGACGATTTCACAAGCAACGCTTCGGTTAACGGGGTTTCACTGAAGTGTAATTTGTAGTGTCTGGGAACCATGTCAATAACGTCAAGTCTCGGACACAACGTGGCCCGCAATGCCCTCATCAAACAGAATCAGTTTCACTGTGAGAGTCTGTCGTGCACAGAGCCCTCTCGACTTCACAAATCCACGCCTTTATCCAACTTTCTTTCTCTGAATTCATCAGTTCGTTGTCTTCAATATACTTTTTAACGTCTGAGTAGGCGTCGGATTCGTTAACGTCACGCCACGTTTTCCACGTGCAGCCCGACTTTTGTCTACGTGAACGTTTGTGCGGAGTAATGTCTGGTATTACTGTGGTTTCTATGGCGTCACTGTTATTGTTATTTTCATCTCCGGATTGTTTATTCCGGACTGGTTTAACAGTTACAGCGAGAGACTTTTCCTCAAGGATTTTAGCCAAATCAATTTCAGGCTTCTTTCCAATTTCTTTATTCCCATTAACGTCTGTTTTTGGAGTATCGTTTTCACTGTCCGTGTCTTGCTTTAAACGTTTTAATTTCTGCAGGTACTGTTCTTCGTGCCATCTCCGGTACTGCTCTATCTTCCGCCGGACAGAAAATGGTTCTTCTGTAACTTTAGATTTGGAATGCTTTCCCCTTCCGCGGTGTCGATGCGGCGAGTCGGTGGTTGACTTCTCGTTTCTATTTTGTGAATCGGTGAGACTGTTAGACCTCTCGTGCCTTTGAGATTCTATGAGATTTGTTTTGGCGTTAATTTTAGGTATACTTCCCCGAGGAGTGAGACTCACATGTTTTTCCTGTTTGCCGTCAGTTTTGCTTTTCCGATCAGAGAAAGCAATTGGAGACAACCTGACCATCTCTTGAGACTTACTGACGTCTACGGACAAGGAGTTGGTATTTCGAGATTTCTGAGTTTCCCGTTTTGGTATTGGCGATGGTGCGTCGTCTTTTGTTGCTTGGGGAGTGGACATGTCACTCCGAATCGTCAACACAGGGGGAGAAGTATACCCAATATCACTACGCGTGATGCTGATTGGTGGAAAGATCGACGGTTCACTTCCGGTACGTACCATTCTCTTCCGGTATCGTTTGGTCGGCTCCGCCCCCGGGCGGGTCTCCCTGCGTTTATTTAACTTAGACAGCTCGCCTTTGAAGCTTGTCGTGTATCTAAATCTTCTTCTCAATTGAGACGCGTCGGTAAAGTCATCACCATGAAAATGGCGTACAAATTCTGAAAACCGTCTACTGTAGATCTCTGGTGACGTCATCTGGAGATAAGTGTCTCTTGACCTTATGACGTCATCGGAGGGTGCCATTGTGACGACCTGTTATTAGGTCGCCACCACTGAAAAATAAACAGCATAATGAGAATAATTCGGTAATAATGTCGAATCAATAGGCTTATGGTAGAATATTTAATATAACGACCACAGAAAACATGACAATGCAATGCTTTCCTAATTCTTATTTAGATCTACATGTATGCATACAAAATCAGAATGAACAAACACTATCCGCTGGCATTTATGCCAAGAGGAATGATTTCAACCGTCCAATCTTCAAATTTCCCGAGCAATATGTCGAGCAATATTCCAACAGCTCAAGCCTTTGCAATTGGTGTATAAATTTCACAATCTTTGAGGTACAGTCGAGCATGCTCTTTCGAAGAGCGTCATATGATTCTTTCTCAAAATTTGTTTGATACAGGTTACAATATTCAAGGCTTAAGTCAAACTTTCAAAACGTTTTATCATAGACGCGTCGAGGCTATTTCATAATTTTACCATCATTAGCCAAAATGATGTCTGATGAAATTTCCTATTTTGATTCGTACCATATGTTTCCATGTATTTTAAGTTGAACGATTGACTAGCATGTGCGTGTGTTTGTGACGGTTGCCACCGGTGGAGCAGGATACGCCCAAATTTTAGCGAACACCTGGTATCATCTCTATTTGATATTGTTTCCTGGACACATAGTACATAGTCGGAAGGGTACAATGAACTCTGCTTTTAACAGAGATTTCCTACAATTATGGAAATGTTGAATGGTTTAGTTTCATCTAGACTTGCCAAAACTTTTAGCAAAATAAAATAATAATGTTTTTATAAGGTTTGTAAGGTATCAAGTACGAAACAAGCAGGAGGCGGTCCCTGGAAATCTTGTACACACGGTGAAACACCCGTATGCGAATGTCATCTTTATATTCATCTTACTGTTTAGATATTAACATATAAATCATTTGTTTTCATCTTCATGAAGTTCGTATTATAAAACGCCTGGCATCGAACTAACTGCTCGAAACACAATGATGATGTATATTCGAAAATAATCTTGAGACAAGGCGTATGCTAATAAAGCTTTGTTTAGGATTTTGTTTCCTAAAGCTTAACTTCTACTTTACTTGGCTTGAGAGATATGAATTTAGAAAGCCAACGCCAGAGAATAACCAGTCTCGATTATCTACCGAAACGTGTTCCACTTGACGTAAAAGGGAAATTAGTGTTGAAAAGTTTACGGATCACAGAAAATCAGTGATGACACCAGGTGTTCGCAAACAAGGGTACGCGTGGTCTGTTATACCGGTAGCACCCGCCAAACACATGCTCTTCATAACAAGAACATGTTTGTTGCCTACCGCCGCACCCAGCAATACCATTGCAATAAGACGGCGGCCTGTAAACAATCGAGTCTGAATCAGACCATCCAGAGAGCAATGATCCAAGTCCTTGGGGTACGACACCACGCTGTCGACCAAGTCACCAAGTCTGACCATCCGATCCATTTAAGTAAGTCTCAGTGAGTAAGGAGGTGTGTAACTTACCTATACACGTTATAGCATGGGAGAGCAAAAACAGAACAGAAGTATATTTATAAAGGCTTGGGCTACTGATCCATGTTTTACATTTACAAACTATAAAGACTAAAACAAAAAACCCGAAACATGTATAAAAGGCGGAGGGAGATCAACAATAATACCTCTTATGACAAACATGATTTTATATGTTTTGCGATGTACATTATCACGGTTTTACTGTAACAGCTAAGTAACAGATGCAATTTAAAATAACATGGAGTTTTGTTGTAATATTTAGCAATATATTTAATTCTGTAATTCTTTAATTTTGGACATATTAAAAAATGATATTCATCTTCAATAGCCGCAATTTTAACTAGCTTACAAAAGTAACAATATCTAGAATCTCTATCGATATTTGTACACCTTCCAATTTCAATTTTCAACTTATGAACAGATACTCTTATCATAGGAAAATATTTTCCTATGTATCGTGTTATATTTTGTCTTCGGAATGTCCACCATAAACGATCTGGAATGACTTAACCAGTCCTTTGATGGCGAAGCCTTGATTGAATAATGGCTTAGCTGTAGGCAACATGGGTAATGGAGATGCTGTCTTGCTCGACATGAAGGAGAATTTCGGGATGGGAAAATCGAAATCATCCATCTTTCCATACAGCCTAGGTTGCCCTCACTCTGAATTTCGATACATATTTTCAAGTCACAAACTCACTTTCGTATGCAAAAAGAAACAAATCAGATTTGAGAGGAGCACAATCTATACCCATAGGGATGCCTTCTAAATGTGCTATGCCCAAATTGGACAGAGGTATTGTCAATCAGGAAACCAGCAACTCACATATTTGGGCAGCTGAGTATTTCTGAGTAGCGGTACTTTCTGTTTCAACAATTTGACAACGTCCATTAAATATTGTGGTAGCATTAAATTTCCTTAACTTCTTTCTTGAAAACAAAACCCATGCTGTTTTAGAATGTAAATTCTCTCTCTGTTTATCACGAGAGATAGTTGTGTAAAAGGTGGAATTATTTTTATGCTTGAACATTTGGTTCTGGTCTGAGAAAAATTCTATACTTCAAGTAAAACTTTTTAATTTTTCAAGATCCCCATGTAATTAAATCCACTTGTCTCATGCATTTGCTGATAGTGTTGAATTAAGCCTTGCTTTATTTATGTCAGAATTAATGACAAGGATTTGGGTGAAACATTTGCTGGGCCCTGCAATATATATCTCTTCAAATGGATTTCGTTGAAGCTGAGGAATAGAATATAAAGGTGGAATGGATTTATTCTTAGTAAATCCACGAGAAGGTTGTAATACTTCATGATTGTCACGTGTTCTTTTAAGACAAATGACTGGCTTTGTATGTTGGGTCAGAAGATAACCCACCAATGCCAAGTTCCTTGTAAAGACATAATGTTGATTGCAAATGGAAGGGTGTTTTTGCCAAATAAACTGTTAGTTTCAGTTTTGTTTTGTAAGTACAATATTACACCAAATCCAAAATAATTATTACTCACACTATTACTATAAGCGTTACATATACCATTTATTTCATGTGGCAAATATAATCAAGACCTTCTTATTCACTTTTGTGAATACATGTAGTAGTATTGAATGCTTTCTAAGAACCTTGCTGTTTCTCATAGCAGATACTCTAGTATAATAGGTTTTCAAACACATGAACTATTGATTTTATATGTTATGGCAATTATAAGACAGCTGAAGACGGCCCAGAAGGATGCTCTATGAACTGGTTCAGTAATTCAATTGTGTAATAGCTAATCAAAAATCAGTTTCGGTTTTCCAAGAGATTATTTCGCCAATATCCACGGTTAACTAAAATAAAAACTCTTTTGTATATGAAAAACACGTATTATCATCCAAAACTGGCTCCCACAGGAGATATCGCTAGGGTGAGATCAAGCAATATCTACACCGTGATCACTTGCTTGATAACGGTGTTAGAACCTACACCGAAACGTCGGTCTTAATTGTAATGAAGAAGTTGTTCATCCATAAATTCCTATCCTTACTTAGTACTCCAACTTCTAAATGCCTATCAAAGAAACCATGTTTTAGTAATTATGCTATTTCACAACAGCTAACCAGCAATTTCGTTCTTTTAGTCAGGAACGGTGTAACACCGCTTCAACCTTTTCCTAAAACGATGGATATAAGAAAATATCATTATGACATTCACATGCTACAAAATCACAAGGGGTCTATTTGCGACGTACCTTGCAATCACATCGACACATTCTCTTCCGTCATTGTATTTCTCTCCCACAAGAACAATTTCATATGAACAGTGTTCTTGAAACATAAGCACTCGCGCCTGTTCAGGATTATGTGTGTACAACGTAACACACAGAGCAGGAGGACATTAATCCCAGCATACATTAGCTGGATTAGCTGCACGTGGTGTACGTCCAGATCTATATTACATGTGCAACCAGCCATCCGCAAATCGCCACATAACACAAGAGTTACTGACGTTGACGTAATGCGCTTGCTATATCTTAAAGTCAAACAATAGAACTTCAACCACACGCTTGTGCGATGTCAGGATTTAACGGGATTATTGATGTCTATGACATAGCTTTTCTCTCGCAACAGGTATTAACTCAAAACAGTACACTACGTGTTCAATATGATTATCGTCTTTCAAACATTCAGCTCATGTGAAATGAGAACACCTTTACTGTTAGAGGTTAGGAAACACGTACACTGGGCGTCATTGTTGAGGGGTTGGATAATAAGATATAAATCGTCGCATTTTCAACTTGCAAGAATTCAGCTGCATCTAAGCCACTGATTGCGTTAAGGCGTGTGTTTTGGGCAGTTTTTGTTCTATCACTTTCAGTCTGGTTCTTTCCATGTTTTAAATAGTCGTCAATTTTTATAAAAAAATAACATTCAATCAGCGTGACATAAGCATACAACACGTTCTTCAACTGTTAATCACATTGTCAATATACTCAGACCTTCAGACGCATATGTTCATGTTTGACACCGTGTATACCTATATAACCGTCAATAAGGACGCTGAGTATGAATATACATTCACACTTTAGCTGGTTATGCGAAATTTAAAAAAAATAGTTTTGTAATCACGTTCCTAATGCTAAGGATAAGAAACCTTGTTTGTTTATGTTCCCACTGATCAAACAACAGTGGAAGAGACCAAGGTCCCTCTTTCGGTAGCGGGGAGGGGTAGCCTGGTGGTTGAAGCGTTCGCTCGTTACGCCGAAGGCCCTGGTTTGCTTCCACACATGGGTACAAAGTGTTAAGCCCATTGTTAAAGGCGGCGAAAATCCCAACCCATTCACAATCTTCCGTTGAAACTAAACGAAAGCCGCGAGTGGACAAGGTAGTATAGGGTAGGTACCCTGCCACAAGATCTACATAATTTGAGTATACGACAAAACCTGTAGAAAGTGCCAGGGAAGATATCCGATGAATGAGAACTAAACTTTGTTCCTTTGAACAACTGTATATATGACAACAATAAATACATAGGTA